ACCCATCCATTTATCTACCCACTCATTTATCCATCCACCCATCCATCCATTCATTTATCCATCCATCCATCCATCCATCCATCCATCCATCCATCCATCCATCCATCCATCCATCCATCCGTCATGTGTCACATACCCAGTGTGTGCCAGGTTTTATGTGAGATTCTAGAGATACATTGGTGAATGAGGCTGGCACTGTCCCAATTTTTGTGGCCCTTAGGTTCCTGTTGAGGGTCAGACATTTAAATATACCTCAGACATGACTGCAGTTGGTGTCATGACATCATGTGGCACTGTGGAGACACATCATAGCGCTCCCCATGACCTCTCTGTCTGCTGAGCTACCCTCAGACAATCACTCCACTCATTATAGTAGGTTCTCTGCTTGAGAGGTTGATTCTAGGCAGATCACACACACATACATACACATAGAATTATTTATGCACATGCATACCCTTATATTCATATACACATATATATTCACACACACACTCATGCACACACGCAGACCTAGAACAAAGAGTTTAGAAGGGAACATGATACAGATCATCAGGGAGAGTAGAGGAGGGAGGAAGCAGCCAAGTTGTAGGTGGTGGGCATGGAGGGTGTTTCAGGTAGGATTTAGGACTTGGATGACCATCCTGGTTGGTGGGCCTGAAAAGCAGTCAGCAGGGGCGTTGCCTAAGCACAAGAGCGAGGAGAATAAGTCCTGGTTGTATGTGAGGCTATGAAGACCCCAGTCTGAATGGGGCAGTGGGCTCATGGGATCAACAGTGGGCATCCATAGGGCCAGGATGAGGACTTGGGTGGAGCTTGGCAAGGCGTTCAGGTCCCTTCTGGGCACTCACTGCATGCGTGCCAGTGCCTGTCTTGGTGAGGGAGGCCCTCTTCCCACCTTCCCTTCCCTGCCCTCTTGGGCACCCCTGCCCGGTGACCTCCAAGTGCCCTCATGTCAGGCCCACTGGGAGCTCTTTCATGTCCTGCTCTCTCCACTAGGCCACCCCTCCTGATTTGGGTGGAGGTGCCCATGTCTCTCTTGGGTAGCTCCTAGTGACACTGGGCATGCTTGCGTGGCTGCAGGCAGGGAGTTTGGGGTTCCACCCCGCAGACAGTTGTCAGCTCAATTTCATGCTAGAGTGGCAGGCAGCTCAGCTGGCCAGGGCTGTGCCACTTGTCAGGTGACCATGTCCTGGTGTGGTCCTCCGGGGTCTACCAGCCTCCAGCAGGGTACCCTTCCTTTCTAGCCCCTTGGACTGACTTGCCTGGGGAGATGTGAACTGTCAGAAGGCTGCCAGCCTTTCCCAGGACTCACAGTGACTCCTTGTGGGTATAGAAAATTCAAATTCCTGGTCCTGACCCCCCAGCCCTGGTCCCCTTCATCAGCAGCCCCTGACAACTTCATCAGCAGTTCCATTTTTTTCCCCCTTAGCAGTTTGCTAAACCATCCATCGCTTGGTTTCTTTTAACCCAAGCCTGGTTTTCTGCAGACTCACCATCTGGGAGCTTGCTTAATCTTGGTTTGATTCCAGTGGAGATAATGGGCAAACCTGTAGGTGAGATGATGTGTGTGAAAATGCTTTGTGAACGGAGGAATACTGCATAAACCTTAGGTGTTATGAATCTGGGGGCTGGGGAAGGGTGCCTGGCAGTGGTTCGGGTCTGTTGACTGAGTCACTCGGGGCAGGACAGCCATCCCAGGAGGAAAGGAAGAGGAGTACTCTCAAAAAGGGCCCATGTACCACCAGTCCCTAGGTTCCTTCTCAGAGAAGTGGAAAGAGAAGTGCCCCTGATTCTGTTTTACGAACAGTCTTTTTAATGAGCACCTATTATTTCATGCCAGGCACTGAGTGTGTAGAGTGAACAAGCTCTGCAGGGGCTGACGTGGGTGCCTTGCCTGCCCCCACCTGCCCACACCCCTCTCCTGTCCCTCAGCTCCCCTAACTGGGACTGTCTCTGATTGGATGACTCTGTGGTGACGCTTCTGGGGCCCTCAGGAATTAGGGACACTCATGGCTATAGGAGGAAGTCCCTGAGTGAGGGCAGGGACAAGAAGCTGAGGCCTGGGTGGAAGGGTGGGGGGAACCCATGCACCCCAGATAAACCCTGGAGAGAAGGCAAGAACATTTTACTTATTTCTGTCCTCTTGTGTCCTTTCTTTTTCCTATGGGAGGCCTTAGAAACACCCAGAGATGGCAGCCAGCTAGGAACCTTACATAGGTGTCTGGAGGTCAGGGCTGGAAGGGCGCTTCAAGATTTCTTTCCCAAACCTAGGGACCAGGGGCCTGGTCCACAGCCCCACAGCCAGTTGGCAGCAGAGCAGACCCCCTTGGCTACACTGTGCTTCCTCTTTCTCCAAACCTGCTCCCCCCAAAAAACTTTCCCTCGGTTGGGGTGGATGTGGGATTGGATTCCCATCGTGGGGCTGCTAAGCAGGGTTGTGGGGTCTTAGACACCACAGTGGAGCCGAGCCGTGAGTTGTGGGGCCCTGTGTCTGGGTATCTTTTTTTTTTGAGTTGGAGTCTCACTCTGTCGCCCAGACTGGAGTTCAGTGGCCGCTCCCGGCCAC